CTATCTATCTATCTATCTATCTATCTATCTATCTATCTATCTATCCATCTATCCATCTATCCATCTATCTATCTGTATATTTACCCATCTATTAACCTATCTGTGTGGTAGCAATGCTCAACTGATGAGTGAGGTGAAGCTGAGGGACTAAAAAGGACGTAGGCCAATGAGAAGAGAGGCTGCAGCTGTGTCTGATGAAACAGGGAACAGGTGTATCTGGGCGCCTTAAGCTGACTGAGGAAAAGTACTGGGAGAGAAGAACCGGTGGCACAGGAAAAAACACTGGGAGGTAGTGAAACAGACTGATGACAAAGACTAAACATAGTTAAAAATACAGATGAAAATAAACCTCAAAGGAAACTAAACCTAAAACATGCATCATGACACATGATTTAAAATGTTTCTGTAACAAAACACAGTGACATTTTTAACAGTAAAGCTAGGTGAAAGGATAATGAATTGTTATTGAAGTGGGGTAATTTGTCAGTAGATGCAGTCAGTGGGTTTATTCCTATTGAGAGACTCCAGATGATATTTCAGTGTTTATTCTAAGATAAGAAGGCTGTATATGTGTTCATCTTACAGAGTAATGACTGTTTAAACTTTCATATGAGGAAAAGATTGAGTTGATAAAATTCTGTTGGTTTTATCTGACCAGTTAGCAAAGAACTAAAATATCAGTGTTTCAGTGTTGGCAGCATGATGGATCAGTGGTTGCAACTGGTGCCTCAGCAAGAAGCACCTGGATTTGATCCCCGGTTTGGACCTGGGATCTTGCTCTGTGGAGATTGCATGTTGTCTACGTGCTTGTGTGTGTTTTCTCTATGTACTAAGCTTTTTTTCCCCAAAGTCCAAAAGCATGCATGTTAGGTTGCCTTCAGACTCAGGCTTCTCAATAAAATAAGATTTGTGATCTCAATGAAATTTGTCTGGTTAAATAAAGGCAAAAAAGAAGATAGATTTGCACCCTTGTAAACGTTATAGAATTCTCCAAAAAACTAAAACTGTGCTAGAAKTCAAATGGGTTTTGACCCAGTCCAGTCTGCCTGAGGGTTTTGGAAATACTTTCAGGTGTTTCACAGCAAATCCCAAACTGATAGGAGCAGCCAAAACACACAATGAACATGTTATGCTGCAGGGAACCCAAGAAGCAGCTGAAACACATCAAATGATGCGTGTGTCAGGTAGATAAATATCACATCGCTGTGTTTTGAAAAGAGATGTTGAAACTGTGATACCACCATACAGCACGCACTCAAAAAAAAACCCAGCAGCTTGGGAGATGAAGGCAGTTTGATGTTTCCATGAGTAATAATGCTGGACTGTTGTGTGTCAAACAAAAAGATATACAGGATGCAGGGATAAAACGCAGACAAAATAAAATATATACAGTTTTCACTCCCGTACTGTGCAGCTCGAAGGTCATACACGTGGCAAATCCATCAACACTGCTTGGATTTTTAGGTGAAATGAGAAAATTTCTTAAGAAATTTCCGAGTGCATCTACTGCCTGACATAAATCAACATTCTTTTATAAAGACCACATATATTTTAAGAATTCAGACTCTTACTTTGACAGATATTTATGCAATTTCTTTAGAAACTCTAAGTTAAAACAGTGAAAACCATTAAAAGCATTTGTTTAAACTTGTGGTTCCTAAAGTTGGAGCTGGGACTTAATTTGTGGTTGTGMAATACCAAGTGGGGTGTATTTCACAAGCCCAAGGGTGGAGTTCTGAGAACATCTACGGAAGGCACACTGACTTTAAAAATAATCTGTTTTAGCACATTTAGCCTAAAATACAAAAAAATAAATAAACAACAATGTTTATAAATGTATAAAAATGCAGCATTTATTGATTCTCTTTAGTAAATGACATAAGTAGTGTTTGAGAACCAGAATAATATCCAAACAAATGGTAAARCTGCTAATGGCTCAATAGAGTCACAATGGTAACTATACACCTGTGTCTCTCACTCCCTGATGACAATCTTACTTAGACAAATACTGACCTACAGGAATCCCTAAATTCCATTAMAAATCTGTAGTACTCTCACATGATACAAGGGGGAGGGTGGATAATGGTGYTGGCGGTGGCGCAGGGCAGGGGTGGTGTGTGGGGGGTCGGCAGCATCTGCAGAGGAGCAGGTACAGTATAGTGGGTGGAGGAGGAGGGAACGAACGTATCCTTACAGGCTCTGAGATGTAAAATAAATCTTAAGCTGACACTTTTTAAAAATCTGAGTTGTGCCTCATTTTCCTTTATTTTACAGCAGAGCTTTTTGTTGTTTTTTCATGGCAGAGTTTGAAAATTTATCAAAAATTTAGATTAGATTAGAT